AACTCAGGAAACAACAGATGTTGGTGAAGATGCAGAGAAAGGAGAACACTTTTGCACTGTTTGTGGGAATGCAAAGTGGTGCAGCCACTCTGGAAAACAGTATGGAGGTTCCTCAAAAATTAAAAATAGAACTACCCTATGACCCAGCAATTGCACTACTAGAAATTTATCCAAAGGGTACAAAAATGTTGGTTTGAATGAGCACATGCATCCCAATGTTTATAGTAGAGCTAGCAACAATAGGCAAATTATGGAAAGACCTCAAATGTTAATCAACTGATGAATGGATAAAGAAGATATGGTATAAAATGTCATACTACTTGGTGATGAAAAAAATGAAACTTTTTTTGATGTTGCCATTTGCAACAAGGTGGATGGAACTAGAGTGTATTATGCTAAGCGAAATAAGTCAGTCAGAGAAAAACAAATATCATATGATTTTACTCATATGTGGAATTAAAAAACAAAACAGATGAACATTGGGGAAAGGAAGGAAAAATAAGATAAAAACAGAGGGAGTCAAACCATAAGAGACTCTTAAATACAGAGAACAGACTGAGGGTTGCTAGAGGGGTGCTGTGTGAGGGGATGTCTAAATGGGTGATGGGCATTAAGGATGACACTTGTTGGGATGAACAGTGGGTATAATATGTAAGTGATTATATGCATAAATATATATATATATATACATATATATTTGTTTAGCCAAGTCCTTCCCATAAATTTGATTATCGTTGTGAACTGGCAAACAGCTTATGTCATATTCTTACAATGTATCCTGTATATGAAGAGTATATATCTATGAAAGTAAAATATGCATTTCCAATATTAAAAAATAATAAACAAATTGTCTTTCCAAATATCACAACAAATCCCATTGTTTCTCATTAAACTGAAGTAAATATTAATCCTTAAAAGAAACTATCTCTTCATGAACTCCTTTTTATATGAATTGGGTTTTATTCTTCTAAAATGTGTCCATGCCAAGCTTATGTTTACCTAGCATTTGTTGCATATATGTCACTAGCCTGCTCTGCCAGGACAACTTATTTAATTTTGATTACCGTGAGATTAGTGCCAAGAAGGCTGATGAGAACTGTCAGCAACTTCTCTAGGGATGCTGAGGGCCTCATCCATCTGTCCTTCAGGAAATGGCCTTTTATTGGCTTCAACACTTTAATGTGTAAGAGTTCTTGTGAGGTGTCTAAGAGAAAAAAATTACAATTTCAAAGTTTAAAGCAAACATCTTCTATTTTAATCCCTTTTAAACTAAGAACTTGACAATTGTAGTCTGTTTTTTCCCCAATACCTAAAGGAATTTATCAAGTCATACTTCAGTGAATAAAATTCAGAATCCAGTGTGGTTTCCTTCCTTCTTACACTGTTCCCTCCTGCAATATACTATTCTGTTGAACACATTATTGTCAGAGGAGATGCCAGCAAAATGGCAGACTAGAAGGCTCTAAGCTCCTGTTCTCTCACAGAAACACACACACACACACACACACACACACACACACACAAAAGCTGAAACAACTTTGCCAAGAGCTCTAGAAAACAGTAAAATATTTACAACAACCAAGAAAATGCCCAATCAAGAAAAAGTCATCTTCAAAATATAAGGAAAATTTTGTTACATATTTATTCATCCTTGTGCCACTACCTCCCCAGCACAATGGCAGTCCTGGTCTTGATTGGTAGCAGCAAGTTTGCCAGTTCCTTACCATGGTCCAGAGGAGGCAGACTTTATTTCCAAATTACTATGTGCATCTATTCTAACCTATCCAGGGAATACTTAGATGATTGATACAAGATGCTCATCTCTGTTTTACGTAACTTAGAACTCAGGTAGAGAAGCAGTGGACGTTGCTTATAAAAGCCACAAGGTGCCTACATCAAGAGATTCCAGGTGAAGATATACAATACACCATCTGAGGCATGGAGGAAAAGCTAAGGTAAGACTATTTGGGAAATTAAGACATCAAAGCAGCAGCAGTGTACATTGGAGAATTCAGAAAGCTATTCATATGCCCAGGCAAGAGGCATGCTAAGAAAAGATCTGAGAAGACTTTGAGCTTTCACCTTGGGTTGATCTCTAGGGTCAGAGCAAGTCTAGATAACTGTTGAAGGTGTGTTCTAGCACAGAGCTAATCTGTAAATATTGGGAGAGCTCCTGGCATTCAGGAAATCTGTCAAAACATTAGCTGAACCTGACCTAAAGGAACAGAGACTTCAGTGGTAAGACACAACAACTAATGGTCTTTGAAAAAAATAGCTTTGAAATTTTTCAAAACAAAACAGACTAATATAACCTTCAATAATTAAAAAAGAATCAAACCTTGGGGACGGCAGTAAATCTGATTTTCAGAGTTACCACATTATAATAGTCAAATGCCCAATTTTCAACAACAACAAAAAAATCACAGGCATGCAAAGAAACAGGAAAACATGGCTCTTCATAGGAACAAAATAATTGAGAGAAATCATCCCTGAGGAAGAGCAAACATTAGATTCACAAGACAAAGATGTTAAAACAACTGTCTTAAATAAGCTTAAAAGGCTAAAGGACAGCATATAAAGAGAACAAAAGGAAATCAGGAAAATGATGTATGAAAAGAGAATATCAACAAAAAAAATATAAATCATTTTTTAAAAAAAGAAACAAACAGAAACTCTAGAGCTAAAAAGTACAATAACTGAATTGAAAAATTCACAAGAGGGATATAACAGCAGATTGCAGCAGACAGAAGAAAGAATCAGCCAACTAAAGAGAGGACAATTGGAATTATTGTGTCTGAAAAATAGATTTGGGTAGGTGATGTCCAGGCACCTGTGAATATCCTATTTGCTCCTATTTTTCCCCACATACCTTGTATGTATCTGAAATATAAATTAAAATTGTACATGTTCTCATTATCATCTCTCTAAAATTTTTTTTAAGTTATACTTAATACAGACTAGTGTGGTGATCTTTTTCATTTATTTATTCCTACATCAAAGCAATGGACATACTTTCTCCCTTCATTGTTTTTGCAATTACAAAAGCAACATATGCCTATTGAAAGAAAAAAAATACACTTTTGTATAAGGAAAAGAATAAAAGTCTCCTGTTTGACCATATTGCTGAGACAACTACCATTAACAAATTTGGTGTATATCTTCTCATTTTTTCAACACGTATCTGTCATATATGCTTATGTGAAATTTAAAACACATAGGTAGCCTGTATTGATATGTAAATGAACATATTCATTTTACAAAGGCTAATTTATATAGCTCTTTTTCCCACTTACAATATATTATGAAACAAACACATAGATACTACTCAACCACTTTTTAATGGCCACCTAGGAAAATCTGTTACAAGAATTCCCAGACCAACCTTCTCATCCAGTGGATTTAGGGTCTCTTAGCACTTTTCAAAGCTGCCCTTGCACCAAATGTCACTGCCTTAAAACTCCAAGTAAGGGAAGTAGAAATAAGTCCAATGACTCTCACAGAAAGGGCTTGATCCCATGGTTCTCAATCCCTAGAGATGGGCCAAACCACTGACCTGAATTTGCCTCTCAACAAGAAGGGTCTGGGTACCAAACAGAACACCAAACTCTATCATCACCTTCCTACCTCTCATCTGTTAGAGAATGCTGGGAGCCTGCAATAAAGAGACATAGAGGCAGCTGGACGCTGTAAAGACACAGCATTAGGTTCTGAAGTTTATGGGCTTTAAACATACCCCATAAGCCTGCTTGACATGTCTAATCTTTCTATACCAGCATATTGTAAATTTACATCATAATTCTTTTAACCAGTGTCCTGTGTTAGGCTTGAATTGGTTTCCAATTCCTTGCTGATTACAATGCTATTCTGACCACATATCATACACATATATCCATGTCCAATTAACAATCATTTCTGTTGGATTAAATTCAAAAAATGAGATTCCTAAGTTAACTTGCTAGGTAAAATGTTGATACATATTGATAAACCCTCTGAAAAAGACTTTTTTTTTTCATTTGAAGGTTAAGTTTCAGTAGCTTTTTTGAAAGGCAATCTAATGTCATTGCCCAAAATATAAAAGGCTGTTTTCATCAGTGTGGCTGCTATAACAAAAATACGATAGACTGGGTTGCTTATAAACAACAGAAATTTATTTCTCACTGTTCTAGAAGCTAGAGGTCCAAGTTTAGGGTGGCAGCAAGGTCAGATTCTGCTGTATAATCAGAGCCCCCTTCATGGTTCATAGATGACCTTCTCCTTTACATGTTTCTTCACATGGCAGAGGGAGTAAGGAAGTTTTCTGGGGTCTCTTTTACAAGGGCATTAATTCAGTCAGAAGATTAGTGAATGACCCTCATGACCTAATCACCCTCGTGACCTAATTACATCCCAAAGGCCCCCACATTCAAATATCATCACATTGGATGGAGATTAGATTTCAACATATGAATTCGGGGGGGGGGGGGGGAAAACATTTGATATATGATAGGGGCCATGTTCATTGACCTAGCAGTTCCACCTCAAGGAATCTCTCTTATAGAAATAATTAAAACAGAAACTATTTACAGGGAAGCTTAAGGGCCACTCACTTGCATAAACCACAGCAGTTATATTTTTATGCAATTATATTTTTAATTGCATAATCATATTCCTAAAGACCAATATTGTATAAGCTAAAGTACTCACAAAGTCTGGATCTACCACTGACGTGCACAACATGCATAAAGATGTAAGTATATATATGATTGATTAACAAAATCTAAATAACTGGAAATAAGGAAAATTTTATGTTATAGAATTTTCTGACCTCAGCACTATTTACTTTTTTTTTAATAAAGGGACTTTTATTATTTTTTAAGAGAATTAATATAGCCATTGATTATACAGAGCCATTTGTCAGTACTTTTTTCTTTCCACTTACGAAACTGGAATACACCATGATGAGGATGATAACACCAAAACAAGATTGCTGGCTGATCACCTAGAGTACAAATACACACTTACTTGTTTGACATTTTATTGAACATAAAGCAAGATTAAGCATCTTCATTTTACACAGCTGAAGCAGGAGCCCAGGTAGGGGAAGACTGCATGGCTTTCCTTGTCTGGGAAGATGTGAGTCCCTTGAAGTCCCATCTTGTGGTAAGACTAACCCATGTTCTGTCGGTTGCCATAGCCTCTGGGATGGGTGCCCTTCCAGTCATCCCACTCCCGAACTCTGTGGAGTGTTTCTTCCCCCTCCTCCTCCTCCTCCTCTTCCTCTTCCTCTGCCTCCTTTTGTTCCTGATCTTCCTGTTGCTGAGCTGCTCTTTTGAGCTCTGGTGTTATCTTGGCTATGCCCTGATCTGGTAATGCTCCATATTTCTGATGCTGATCATACCAGTCATTCACCGTCATAGATGCCAGACTTGGATAACCAGCTCCAAATACTTTGGCTTGGGCCACATTCCGAGTGAGAACGAAGGGTTTCATTGGAGGCCTGTCCTGAGGAGATGAGTAAGAAGTTGATGCGTCTTTTGAGGAGTCGTCTTCTCTCAGGATCTTCATCTCCTGGTCAATGCTCTCAATCTCTTCTAAGCTAATACCGATCCACCTTCGAAGGTGAAGAAGGTAATATTCACGAACACACTCATCATCTGCTTGACCACTTTCCACAGCAGATTTCAGTGCAAACAACCTATGCTCCACCTCCTTCTTCTGCTTGTATCTCTCTATTTTAGCCTGTCTTTCAGATGCCACAGCAACGAGGCTGGGACACGCCATGGAGGAACTAGCAGTATTATCAGCTGAGTTGGTTTGGGGCAGCTCAAACTCTGCCACATGATAATACTGGCACTGAGTTAAGTAGTTTAAAAAGTGTTCTCGAGCCCACTGCAAATGATCTAGACGCTTGCTGGGGTTGACTTGTTTCATGGCGAGCGCTCCTTGAAAAGCTGAGACCATCAGGTACTTCAGGTCTGTGGAAGCAATCTCTTCCAAGTCTTCATTTCGGCTGAACAAGTCGAGCTGCGATAACATTTCAGCAGCCTTCTTAAGGAGGTCTAGTCCCCTGAATACCTTATCTTGAATTATCTGGGAACCGGTGGGTTCAGTCGCTGCTTCCACTTCGTCCAGAAGCTGCTTGCTGGTTTCGAACAGCGCGGGGAGCCGCAGTAGCAGTAAAGCGTCTCCGGCTGTTGCCATCTTGGGGGAAGGAGGAAGGCGGAAGCAGCGCTATTAACTTTTGACCTCAATATTCTTTGCAGCAGGCTCCTGTCCTGTGAATTGAAAGGTGTTTACCAGAGTCTCTGACTTCTCCCACTAGACGGCAGTAGCACCCCTTCCCTCCAGCAAAATGTCTGTAAACATTATCATAGGTACTCTGGGAGGCAAGATGTCCCCCTCCCACTGATTATCGCTATAACCATACCAAGGCAAACTATGCAACTATTAAAAGGAGTGCCATCATTGTACAAGTGGATGTGGAGAAAAGATAAATACATCTGTTTAAGTGATGAAAGCAAGTTGATGATCTGTACAAGTAGTACGAGTCCGCTCAGTAAGAAGCGTATCATATATGGGTATATGCACATACATTTGCATGCATATGATAGAAAAACACTAGAAAAATGCACAGCAAATTGGTAGCTGTGGTTACATCTAGCGAGAAGAATGAGATGGGAGCAGCGTGGGAAGAAACGGTGGTGAAGAGAAACATTCATGTTTAAACACATCATTAAACACATTCTCACCATTTCAATCTTTTACACCAGTAAATCTTTACACCGATGTTTTACTCATTAGAAAATTGGGGCGCCTGGGTGGCGCAGTCGGTTAAGCGTCCGACTTCAGCCAGGTCACAATCTCGCGGTCCGTGAGTTCGAGCCCCGCGTCGGGCTCTGGGCTGAATGCTCAGAGCCTGGAGCCTGTTTCCGATTCTGTGTCTCCCTCTCTCTCTGCCCCTTCCCTGTTCATGCTCTGTCTCTCTCTGTCCCAAAAAATAAATTAAAAACGTTGAAAAAAAAATTAAAAAAAAAAAAAGAAAATTAAAGCAAATTATTTCCTAAAAATGAATGAAAGTTATGGTACATGCTTTTTTTTTTTTTT